CGCCGCGCCCCCGCCCGCCGTCATGGCCGGCGGCGCAGTTGGCTTCAGGCACCTGTTCGTGACGATCTCATCTATGGGCTTCACAACAATCTCCTGCAGAGAAAGCAAGCAACCAAAACAGCCAACAAAAACAAAAACCCAAAACTTAGTTTCACAAGAACATAATTTAAAATTGAAAAAACAAAAAGACAGCCCTCTAAAGAGAATTAAACTCCGATGAAGAAGAAAAAGAGGATGAAACCCATCATCCAACTAGTCGTGACTTTTTAGACAAGATCGTACTTTTATTTGGGAGAAATAAATAGTCATGCTTCAAACTTGCGATTAGCAGGCGTAGAAAACAAAGCATGAGTGGAAGATGGTGAACATAAAATGGTGGAAGACTGAAAACCTACGCCGACAGCATGATCGGGAAGAAGAAAACAAGAAAGGGGTGAGAAATAGAATGAAATCTGAGATAAAGGAGCATACCTGCGGCCACTGAGCTGTGTTCATGGCTCTCGACTTTCAATCTGATCAAATCCCAGAAGAAGATAGGACGAGAGAGAGAGAGAATGTGAAAGCTAAAGCTGGTGTTTGATAAAGCAAGCCGAAGACATGAAAAAAAGAGGAATTTATTATTTTTTTATATCTAATTTTACTTTTATAGATTCTGCGTCTGAAAATGAGAGAGAGAGAGAGAGAGAGAGAGAGAGAGAGAGAGAGAGAGAGAGAGAGAGAGTGGGATGTTTTTATTTATTTATTTTAATTGAAATCCCAGGAAACTCCATTAGAGATGAAATTTACAGTACAGTAACGTTGGTCATAATGTCAACCACTGGAGCTGTGTGTCGTCATCTATGGCGATCAGTTGCTTTATACATCCATATCCATATGAATTTTTGTTCTGATTCCTTTTAATATATGAATACGATGTATGTAAAACATTTTCAAAATCGCAAATACAAATACGTGCCACCCCAAGTTCATATATATTAATATTGTGAATGGTGGGACCCTCGATTTCACGCTCCTCATTTCCCAGCCGCCCCCTTTCATTCCTTCCAAAACGGCGTCGTCTTCGTGGTCCGTCACATCTCGCCCGTTTATTTTATTAACCGAATAACCGAATCGAATAAAAAATAATCGAAAAACCGATTTTTAAAAAAAAAAATAAAATTTTCACCGAAAACAAACTGAAAAATAACCGAATCGAACTGAACCGAAATTTATATAAAAACTGAATGGTTATACTTTTTATATAACTGAACGCGAATATAAATGAACCGAACCTGAATCAAAACTCGAAATGGCCATCCTTATCCCATGCATCTTCAAATTTTCACAAACTCTACTTGCGGATTACATATCAAATTAAAGCAGGAAATGTATACATCCGAGTAAATTGTTATATACTAACTAATAATATTTGGACTGAAAATACAAGCACTCGTATATAGTATGTATAAATTCGCGTGTGATCGGTGCGAACATAAATATTTTGAAAATCTGTATACGGACCATTCGCCACGTGAAGTAATATAGTGAACTTTTCATTTCGATAAAAGAAAGTATTATTGTATGGTAGCTTATTATAGTACATGAGGACAAAAGACAAGTATTAAGTGCTAATAATATTTGTCGCTAACAAACTATATCAATCCCTCCAAAATACAAATCAATATGAAAGTAAATGCTTAACGCAATCTTTAAATATTTTCAATGGATGGTAAATCAAACTTAATAGTTAAATCGGTAGAAAAACGTTTAGTTTAACATTTATCACGTCCTAAATCCGAATCTCAAATGTGAAAGAAATATTTGCATAGATTTTCTTGAAATTTGATATTAGTTTGGGTTTCGACCCAATATTCTCAATTATCTAAAAAAAAATAATCATACTTTCTATCTACCAAAATTGTTAAGAACTGATGTGTATATTCGTATGTGCATGTATGTGCTTGCGTGCAATTGGCACATCACATACTTTTCCCATGCAAATATTAGGTGTGACTAATCCTACACCTGCCCTGCCCCTCCCACGTCAAACTAAAACGACGTAGTTTCGGCGTATATGATACGCGCGGGCTGGTGGCGGATTGAAGCCGTCAGATGTTGGAGGAATCTGGGTGGGACCCCAAGCGGACAAAAGAATATCGTGGGATGTTGACACGTGTCCCAGATGTTGACTCTACAGGGAAGAGCACCCAAATCTCTGTGGAGAAAGAATATGGTTTGGACGGTGAAGATTAGTCACCAGGTGGACCCCATGTGCTTAGTCTTTTAAGGAAGGCATCCAACCTCAGCCGTCTGATCTTCTAGGCGTCGACCTATTCCGCTATTGCCGTCCACGTCAGCATATATATCTATTTCGTAGGTGTATTCCATTACATCACATGCTGTATTTCCCCAAATGCGAATTTCGTTTGATGCATGTACGGCGTATAATATGCATCCTTCCAACACATTATTGTCGGTCTGATTGGCAAAATATGTTTGCCGACTCACGAATAAGAACACTGATGAACGGTAGATGTTTGATGCGACATTTTTATAAAAGCTACGGAAAATAATAATATTAAAAATATAAAAATTCATATATATATATATATGATTGTGGGGAAATTTCTTGTGGGTATTTCTTTTTGTAAGTTTAATTATATATATATATATATATATATATATGGGAGGAACCGACTCTTTAACTATGGGTTCACAAGCCCCCATTGTTTGTTCTCTTTATAACAAAATATTTTCTTCACAAATTTTGGAAAATTTTAGACAAAACTATTATAGACCCCCATAAAAAATACCATTATAAAATTATCATTGCCCCCAATTATAAAATTTCCTGGATCCATATATATACAGAGACAAAGATTTGCGTGTACATTAATACAATTAGTGCTCGAAATTTTTATATATAAAAAAATTAGTGCTCGAAATGGCTTACACCGACAGACTTGACGAACGTTCACGTTTTTAAATGAAAAAAAAAGGTAGAGGAAGAATTTAAAAGCAACATCCTTAAAATAGTAAATATATCTGCGTGCGAATAGAGAATAGTAATTATCTGAACGCAACAAAATTAATTTTGTATTTAATGTAAAGTTTAATAATTTTCAATTAAAAATAATAATAATTCGAGGGTAGTCCAGATTAAATACAGATATAGGCAAACGGGAGAAAAGGGAATCGAGTGCGCTCACGTGTACCGTGCATCAGTGGGACGTAGAACAAACCGAGCTATGGGTTAGATATGACCGTCCGATTAGATTTAATTCGGGGCCCACCAGATCTCAATTGGATTATGCATATGTACCCTTTGCCAACTAGTTTCCTATTGGTTTAAATTATTCCATGCAAGTGTGGAACCATAGGGTTGAAACGATCCGACATGCGTGGCACACCTAATATGCATCCAATATGTGACGACATACATATAAATCATAATATATATATACACGATATCTTATATATATATTTTGTGTAATAACTATGCGCTTGTTTCTGGATATGATATGCCGGACACGTGCGTAAACGTACATGCTCAGTGTTATAAATATTTTTTTTTACAATGCCTAAGTTAACCCTTTGATTTGATGCGGTGGTAAAAACATATTTTACACCTTTTTATATCCCTAGCCTATCCAAGATTGGGTGAATTATAACTATTTAAAAGAATTATTTACAAATCACAGAAGATTTTTGGGTTTGTTGCACATATGGGATTTTTGGTTTTGAAACTAAAAAATCAATTAATCACACACACACATATATATATATATATAGATATAGATATATATATAAAGTAATGCAAATATAAATTAAAATAAAAAAGTATGCAGATCGTACGCCAAACTTGTTGAAATAGAAACAAAATATGAAGATTTGATATGATTGATAATAATTAAAGACAAATATCAATTAAGAATAAAATATATATCGTATCAATTATATTTTGCCTTATTTGTTTCTTTCGTATCTTTATTTCCTTGTTTTTTCAATAACTTTTCATATAAATGTATGGATTATTTTCATTGTACTGGAACAAGAAAGAATAGATGTAGCAATAAAAATGTTTCCGTTTTTTTATATTTTGTTCTTTCTGTTCTCGTTCTTTTCTCTTTTATTCTTTTTTTCTAATTTAATTTTCGTATTTTATTTTTCAATAAAACTAGAGGACTGCATCGGCATCGCATTGCATGATGACGCCCAATTGATGGGGAAAATATAACTAAACGAAGCCAAAGCAGATACAAATGGACATGACATGATGGTTTTTTGGTGGTAGTTATAATTCCTTGTTCCGGGTAACCTATTGTGGACCAAACCCGCCATTATGGTTACTAGGCGGTGCTATTATTATTATTATTATTATTTTGTTTGGGCAAGATATACACCTCTATCAATGCATCAAATATCTCAAAATTGTCCCAAAAACAGTATAATTAATTTCACTAATAAGAAATAAATTCAAGTGCACGTATACATGCCAGTATATACACATCCTAAAGGTCCATTATTTTTAGTTTGTAAGATAAATAAAATCATGTGAACATTGTACGGGGACAGATAAATCACCCCCGAATATCCGGGGCGCTCCCCGGCTGACGTATGGTATGGACCACATTATGACGCGACCAAACATAATAAAAATTGAACAGAACTGCTGATACAAAACATTATTAACAATATTCGTTAATTTTACACAAATGCCCCCGACGAGCTTCTCTTTTGTTTTGGGCAGCCAAACGGGCCTTTAGGTTTTGGGCTAATAGCCCATTTTCTTTATAAGCCCAAACCGATCCGCTTTCACATGTTTTGGTGTTGGAATCTATTGATATAGTTTTGGCGAATTTCAATGGTCCCTAGTTATGGCAATATACTTTCAAATAATTATTATTCCATATGGTAACGAAACAATACATACACGCATAAACTGCAGAGCTACATCATACACAATCATATCTACCTACATACATATATATATATATATATATATATATGTTACAGGGGCCAGGCTACTGGTTTTCTGATTTGTGTAGACCCAAGTTTTGGACAAGCAAATCGAAATTCCGTTTAAAGGAAGGAGAAACCATGATTTCGGAGGCGGCCCATAGTTTCCGAGCTTGGGTTTTGTCGGAACCGAGTTTGGATGTCCTCGCTTCATTGCAGTCCGCAAAGTATTTGCCCGTAACGTTCGTAAGCCTCGGAGTCGTTGCAGCATAACATGTCGTGGCCGCAGCCTACAACCAACCAACATAGCTCTTTATTATTGTCATTGTTATTATTTATGCACTTCAGATGTCCGGTCCGACTAATTTACCTGAGGGATGGTCTTCAATAGCTTGGAGGTTAGGAAGAACACTGCATCTGTACATTTTTACAAGACATATATAAGTTGTCTTGGTTAAATTTTCAGTTTATGCAGCTTAGTGTTAGATATCAAATAAGGGCCGATTTTTGATAAATATGTGAAACAAGTGTGTATGTATGTATGTATGTATGTGTTGACCTGTGATGAAGCCTTCTCGCTCTCTTGTGAGGCGGGTTCTTACAATTCCGGGATGGACACAGTTCGCAGTCACGTCAGCATCCATTTTCTGCTACAAATTAAAGGTAATTAACGACCATTTGTGTGTGTGTATATATATATATATATATATTATAATTAATTGCTCATTAAATTACAAAACTACAAGTGGGGATCAAACAGACTCACGTGGAGGATTCGGGAGAGCTCGATGGTGTGCAATACGTTGGCAAGCTTTGAGAGGGCGTAGGCACGGGTCGCGTCGTAGTGACTTCAAAAAATGACAAGACACATATTATCAGTCAAAGTCAAACCTTAAGTAATAAAATACTAAACTATATTATATACAAAGGGATTTGGATTTTTCATTACCACTTGGTCCGTGATATTTGGGCGAGATATCGAGTCATGTCACCCGAAAACCAACTGTGGATAATCGATGAGACGTTCACGATACGGCCCTTCACGCCAGTTTGTCTCGCGCTTTCCTTCATCCTTTTTAACAGCAGCTTCGTAAGTAGAAAATGGCCTGCACGCACAAATATTTGTCTCTTAATTTCTTGCGACGAAAAGTAATCAAGCAACTGATCAAAGCGGTGATTATTGGGTTACCGAGATAATTAGTGACGAACGTCATCTCGATGCCGTCCTCCGTAATCGAATGCTTCTGCGCGTACTTTCCCGCATTGTTTCTGTTTTTTTTTACCGCAAATGTTAAAAAAAAACACGACAAAACTATGAGAAAATGATCTCTCCCCGACACTTTCTGGGCAACCAAGAAACGAAAGAAACAGGGGATGACGGTAATGAGTAACTGACATGAGGATATTGAGAGGAAGATCGAGAGATTCAAACTCGGCGACGAATCTCCGGACGGAGCTGAGAGAGCTGAGATCGAGGGACATGACGATGATCTGGGAATGGGGAAACTCCGACAGGATCCGAGCTTTGGTTTCCTCGGCGGCTTTGATGCTCCGACCAGGAATCACGATCCTCGCGCCGCACTTGGCCAGCACGCGCGCCGTCTCGGCCCCTATCCCCGACGTCGCACCTTCGCCGGAAAAGAAGAACAACCGTCAGAAATAACTCCGATCGAGTCGAGACGTGGGGGAAACAGAGAGGAGAGGTAATTACCGGTGATGATGGCGGTGAGTGGCCGGAGATCGGAGTTGAGGGTGACGTCATCGGCGGTGGATTTGGAGCCGAAACCGCTGGACCCGGAGGAGCCGATCAACTGCTTCACCGTCTCGAACATGGTTTTGTCTTGGAAATATGTTTGAAAAAATTTGAAAATGTTGAAAATGGGGAGAGCAGTTATACGGAGTGTCGGGAGGCTTCGGGTTGGTATTTATAGTGCCTCGTGTCGGAGGAACAAACAGGGGAGATGTGGAGAAAGGGGACATTATATGTGTGTGTGTACGTATTGATTAGGATTAATTTCTACTAATAATTTTCTGATTAATTAACTTAATGTAATGTTTAGGTACTGTTGGACACGTCATATCAATTTTCTTATTAATAATTCTAATATATAGCCCCAAAAGTTATCATAATGACACCGAGATCCATCCTAATATTATCACTATTATTCAGCTGCTTTGAAATATATAGTTCCAAAAGTTTACGTTTATTTATAAATGCAAAATATTTATCTACATATAAATATTTACAGTAAAATTGAATCATACGGTTTTATGTTCGCATATTGAATAAATTTGGATTATATAACCCGTATTATAAACAAGTTGAGTCCAATACCTCAGTTTGTATACGGTTCCTTTTCATCTTGAATTTAAATGTATATGAAGATGTACCAAGTGTTCCGTACTTCTAAAAGAATACCCAATAATTTTAACAATAAATATTATATTATATACTCTAAAAAAATATATTTTAGGCTATCTTCAAAATAAACTATATATATATATATATAATATAACAAAGATATTAGTTCCGAATCCTAAAGATCTAACTAATCTTTAGAACCTGAATATACACCAAAATCGGTTGGTTTAAGTTATTGTACTTTGTCATAAACAATTTAAGCTATTAAACTCTTATATAAATATATATAAGACCGATTTATTTATTTATTTTGTAATGGTTAACCCAAGATGGGGATATAAGACGGATTTTTAACCTACCTGACCCGGTATATTTAAATACCATACCCAAATTTTTGAACATTGATTGGGATAAAGAGGATCTCTATATAGTATATACCATTGTTATTTAAAAATATTAAGATTCGGGAGGATATATAGATAGATAGGCTTAGGCACATACACACACACATATATATATATATATATATATATATATATATATGGAGAGAGGGGTAAGCAACACAACAAAAAGGAAAAATGGAATCAAGATAATAATTGGGTACCATCATTTAATAAAAGGGTTTAGTTAGCCAACTATATTTGACTAAGCAATATTACGGGCGAAGATGAGTCATCACACAAATTTAATTATTTGCATTTGGTGATTCATGATTCCCACACACATATATATATACACATATATAATATTAAGATGCAACCATATTTTATAAAGAAGCATTTTGCATGGATATAATGCCATGATTTTCGGGTAAACCCTAATTCTCAACAATGATGGCAAACTTTCTATGCCATGGTCCCTTTCTCCTTTTTGGCATTTATCGGTCTCTTATGTACTCATAGAAACCATTCCCAGTATATATAATATCCATTTTTAATTACTGCATGTCATGAATATTTGGTTTCTCTCTGTATAAGTTGAATCCTATCGATTGCTTGAAGGTGAATTATTGCCTATATGATCGAATTATATATATAAAAAAACAAGTCTTAATGAGTTAGATAATAAAATGAAGTATTTATCTTCATACTAATGAAAAATGATATACCACTCCATGCATCTCCTTAATTCGTTCCACCGTTGGCCAACGAGAGGCTGCCATCTGTCATATTCTTCACTTTTTTTTACGTGATTTTATACAATTAAAAGTTCTTAACTCGATAATTAATTCATATAAATAAATGTGTTAGCGCCACAAAGGAAAAATGACAAGCAAGGGTGACGTTGTAGCATCCACGATAGAGTAAGCTAATTGGTAACCGTGGCCTTGGAGGATCCATCAACGGCTTAGAAACTCTAGAAAAGGAATATCATTAGAAAAAAAATTTAATCTACCAAATTCCCACTACTATCCACTAACCATTCCTCTTCATATTATTTTATTTTCTCGATGTGCTGGTCCAAGCCCTCTTCTTTCCCAAAGTAAAAAAAGAAAATTTAAAATAAAATTCTGATACTATCATTCTATATATAACGTACCCCTATCAAACTCCTCGAAAATTGATTTGCAAATTTACCATTCCCAAGGATTACTACTAAAAAAATTAATCTATTTGATTGAATTGAAATTACAATGGTTAAAAATTATATACAAAACTTTGGAGGATAGATGATAAGGATGCGCATAGTTAATCCAAATTTCAAATCTTGATACAAAGTTTGGACAGTTCAACCGGTGAAATATGAACGTTTAACGGCTATTCCGTCGCGAATTCAAATCTCAAATTAAAAAAAAAAAACATTCACGTAAACTTTTTCTATTTCGATATAGAATATTCCGTTAACAAAAAAAATCAAATAATAATGAATATGAATACGGAGGACAATAAAAACACCTCTCCTCCACCTTTGGAGTTGTTGTCCTATCTTTCTATTGTACTCAATTCATTGGTGACGACGTCCATATCAAGTGAATAATAAACTCCTCCACCTTGGGAAATGTTGTTTTTTAAGCCAATTAAAAAAAAAAAGAATCAATGCAATGACAAGGCCGAATCTTTGCCCTTTTTGTTTCACCAACCGGTTAGGTTTGCTCATCGATTTTATTTTACAATCGCCTTTTCCCTCAAATCTTTTTTTTTTCTCAAAAAAAAAAATTGGCAAACCATGTCATCATTTAATAATGTGGGTGAGTTCAGTTTCTAGAATGTTTGCTGGAAGATATCCCAAACCAACCCATCTTATCTCATTGGATCTTCACATGATTTGTATATTACTTACTTTGATTTATGAAAAGATTTCCGAGAAATGTAATGCTTGGAGAAAGGAAGAGGACCGTATCTTGCTCCACATTTAGTGGGTAGAAACATTATAATATGACTATATCTTACAATAAAATAAATTAGCACGAGATTGTTGGCGAACGAAGAGAACAAGAAGACGAAGATGACATGATGATGCATGACGGACAATGGGAACAAGGTGACGTGGAGCATTCAACAGTCACAAGAGACCAAGACTCTGATCATGACACAACGGCAAGTACACACATAAAAGGAAAAGAGATCATTAGCAAAAACTGATTTGCTAATCTTCCTATTATTGAGTGCAGAATATTATACTACCATATTTGACAAGTGTATAGATGAAGAATCCTAGAATATATACAAGACACATGTATGTAAAAGTATACGAGAGATTATATTGCAGATTTTTTCTTGTCTTCTTCTCCAACCTTTTCTTGGCTGTCTCGAACAGTTTTTCTCTTGTGTTTGTTCTGCGTTAACTTATCGAACAAACCATTTTCTTCATGGTATCAGAGCCACAAGGTCCTTGAACCCTCTGTTATACCTTTTCTTCCATCCCAATTCTCGTTTCAATCAGATCTCCTCTGCTACCCTCCATTGACAGCCATGGAAACCACACCGAAACTTATTCCTATCACTTTAACCGGTGAAAACTACTTCTATTGGACAAAGGCTGCGATGGCGGCTCTCAATAGCAGAGGCTTATGGGAACACATCTCTGTTGAAAAGAAAGTTTCTCCCCCACAAGAGGTGGCCGCCGAAGGAGAAACACCGGAACAAGAACAACAACGTCTCAGTCGGAATCGGCAAGTTCTGTCCGATTTTAACAAGTGGAAACAGGAGGACAGTCAAGCCTTGGTCATTTTGCAAGGCTCTTTGGATGTGCATCTCCTCCAATCATTCATCTCTCATGCTACAGCCAAGTCCCTTTGGGAAGCGCTGAACAAAGTTTATGGTAATCTTTCAAACGTTAGTCGTATTTTCGAATTAAAACGAAAATTGTTTCATCTTCAGCAGAATGATCAGCCATTCAACAAGATTCAAGGGGAGTTTTGTGCAATTTGGGCTGAGCTTGAAGAAGTAAGACCCACTTCGTTGGATCCACAAACAATCATGAAAAGAGCCGAGGAAGATAAGGTTTTCTCTATCCTTTCAACACTAAATGCATCCTACAATGACATGATATATCATGTTCTGCGTCAAAACATCTTGCCGACGTTTGAGGAGCTGTGTATGATGATAAAGAGAGAAGAGACTGGTCGAAATTATTTCACTGGCCCCCATGAACTCGCCCACTATGTTAGCAAACATGTGAGTTCGACTGCCCCTGTCCGTGACCGTAAAACGTATTACTGCGATCATTGCAAGCGTCAAGGTCACAGCAAGGAGAGGTGCTGGGCTCTTAACCCTCATATGAAGCCAGCCCGTTACAAAGAAGGCCCTCGCAAAGGATCTGCTATGACAGCCACGAATGAGTCCGACAATTCCATCAGTTTGACTTCGGAGGAACTCAAAGGATTGAAGCATCTTTTGCAGTCGATCAACAAGGACTCCGGTAACTTCTCACACAAATCTTCTATTGTCCTTGATTCGGGTGCAACAACCCATATGTTTTGTGATGATAATTTGTTCAAAACCATCATACCGAGCCATGGTGTTGTGACTATTGCCAATGGTAAGTCTGTTCCAATCAAAGGAGTTGGTAAGATTCAATTATTTAACCGAGAAATCTCGGCTCTATATATTCCCGAGTTTCATACTAACCTTCTATCCATTCCTAAGCTTGTTGAAGAAATAAAATGTCGTGTTATCTTCGAGACTAATGTTGTTTTATTTCAGGATATTGACTCGGAAAGTGTCTTTGGAAAAGGATCACGGATGGGCAATCTTTACTATCTTGAAGACTCGCACTTTAGTTTTATTTCTATTTCTCCTAGCGTGTGGCATGCTCGTCTAGGTCATCCACACGCTAAGGTGTTTCATTTGCTTGTTCCCCACGTCAAAACTTTTGATACTCTTTGTGAGGCATGTACGTTAGGGAAACATTGTCGTTCGATTTTTACAGACTCTACAACTACTTATGAGAATGTTTTTGATTTAATTCATTCGGATGTGTGGACCGCTCCATGTTATTCACGTGATCATTACAAGTATTTTGTGACGTTTATTGATGAGAAGTCCAAATATACATGGATTACTCCTTTGAAACACAAAAGTGATGTTTTTTATGCTACTAAAAATTTCTTTGCCTATGTTACTAACCAATTTAATGTTAAGGTTAAGTGTTTTAGAACAGATAACGGCGGCGAATATACGAGCATTCAATTTCGTGATTATCTTCTCCAAGAAGGAATCATTCATCAAAGGTCTTGTCCCAACACGCCACAACAAAATGGAGTGGCCGAAAGGAAAAACCGACACTTGATGGAAGTAGCTCGAACACTTCTTTTTCATCGCTCGATGGGCAAGAAATATTGGTGTGATGCCGTGAAAGTAGCATGTTATCTCATTAACCGGCTGCCTACACAAATCCTTCGGGATAAATCCCCGTTTGAGGTACTATTCAATCGTTGTGAATCCCTCGACCATTTACGTGTTTTTGGTTGCGTGTGTTTCGCTCACATTGATGCAGGCCAACGAACGAAACTTGATCCGAAAAGTATTAAATGTGTCTTCCTTGGATATCCTGCAACCCAAAAGGGGTATATTTGCTTTCACCCTCCGAGCAATCGAGTTTATACCTCACGTGATGTTAAGTTTTTTGAAGAAATTGGATACTTTGAAGACCATGATTGGAAGAACTTGGAGAATCTTGCTGTCCAAGGCACCGATAGCAATGAGTCCTTATCTCACCTTCTTACCACCTTTCGAAGACTTGGAGTTAATGTTGACTCACCCACTTACGACGAGTTGCATGCCGACGGTATCCCTAATCCTCTTCCGTTGACTTTGGTTAATACCATATCTACTAACCATGCAGGACGTGATTCTCAACACCAAGAAGACCCTTTATCCCATGATGATGATTCGATGTCTTCGATGTCTTCTCCTGAGGGGGAACCTCCTCTTCATGGCGGGCCGTCTAATTCTTTTCTCATAGTTGATGCTCCGACGCTTTCTCATGAGGGGGAACATCAAATTCCTGAAGGCTCACTTGATTCATCACTTCCTCAACAAAACATCACGCCTTCGACGCACCAAGACTCACTGCGAACACAACCATCGCTGCGACGTAGCTCAAGAGAACGTCGGCCTACTTGGAAGTTACTCGAACAAGAAGCCGTCGGAAACCTTGCTGTTTCGCATCCTATTGCTAAGTACTCTTCCCTTCATTCTTTTCCAGCTAATGAACAAAGTTTTCTGAGCCGTGTTACGCAGGGAATCGAGCCATCGTCTTATAAACAGGCCAAAGACATCGACGTTTGGCAAAAAGCTATGGCCGAGGAACTTTTAGCTTTGGAGAAAAATGGCACTTGGGAAATAACAAACTTGCCTTCGGGAAAACAACCAGTGGGATGTCGTTGGGTCTACAAGATCAAATATCAAAGCGATGGTTCTATCGAACGACACAAAGCTCGACTTGTGGCAAAAGGGTATACGCAAACGTATGGTGAAGATTATAATGAGACCTTTGCCCCAGTTGCCAAACTCCCAACGGTACGCGTTATTCTTTCTTTAGCTGTCAATCTTAATTGGTAGTTGTGGCAAATGGACGTGAAGAACGCCTTTCTCCAAGGCGATCTCGATGAGGAGATTTTTATGAGTCCTCCGCCGGGCTACACGAGAACCATTCTACCGGGTCAGGTTTGTCGTCTCCGTAAGGCTATCTACGGCCTTAAGCAATCTCCACGCGCATGGTACCATCGTCTCTATCATGCTTTATTGGACAAAGGTTTTTCACGACAAGATTCCGACCACTCACTCTTTACACTTACCCGAGGTTCCGGTATAGTTATTCTTTTGGTTTACGTGGACGACATTATTTTATCGGGTGATGACATTGACGGAATTAACGAGACCAAATCCTATATGCAGCATGTATTCGACATTAAGGATCTCGGTCTTTTAAAATATTTTCTTGGGATAGAAGTTACACGTTTTCCTAACGGTTTGTTTCTTTCTCAGCGGAAATATGTTTTAGATTTATTAACAGAAACAGGAAAACTTGGAGCAAAACCGGTGAGGACACCAATTGAGGAGCACTACAAGGATCAACGCGAGGGGGAATCATTTGAAGATCCGGAACAATACCGTCGCGTTGTAGGTAAGTTGATCTATCTTACCATTACACGTCCTGACATTAGTTTTGCTGTGCATCAGGTTAGTCAATGGATGCATGCTCCAAGGATCAATCACTGGCATATGGTGGACCGGATTCTTAAGTATCTTAAAGGAACTCCAAACAAAGGCGTACGCATGGACAATAACAAGCACACCGAGATTGTAGCTTATTGTGATGCCGACTGGGCCGGAGATCGGACGGATCGCAAATCGACTACGGGATACTGCACATTCATTGGAGGGAATTTGGTCACATGGAAGAGCAAGAAACAAAACGTGGTGGCAAGGTCAAGCGCGGAGGCTGAATATCGAGCCATGGCAAACACGACAAGCGAAGTGGTATGGCTAAGACAACTACTCAGAGACCTCGGGATTGAGACAAGTACGGCTACCCCATTACACTGTGACAATCAAGCAGCATTACACATTGCAGCTAATTCAGTCTTTCACGAGAGAACGAAGCACATCGAAGTGGATTGTCACTTCATCAGAGAGAAGATTACACAAGGTATAATCTCACCGACCTTCACGAGGAGTCATGATCAACTTGCAGATATCCTTACTAAGGCGACAAGTTCCTTTGTTCTCAATAAATGTCTCTCCAAGATCGGTCTTATCGAATTTAGTCGGCCGATCTTGAGGGGGAATGTTGGCGAACGAAGAGAACAAGAAGACGAAGATGACATGATGATGCATGACGGACAATGGGAACAAGGTGACGTGAAGCATTCAACAGTCACAAGAGACCAAGACTCTGATCATGACACAACGGCAAGTACACACATAAAAGGAAAAGAGATCATTAGCAAAAACTGATTTGCTAATCTTCCTATTATTGAGTGCAGAATATTATACTACCATATTTGACAAGTGTATAGATGAAGAATCCTAGAATATATACAAGACACATGTATGTAAAAGTATACGAGAGATTATATTGCAGATTTTTTCTTGTCTTCTTCTCCAACCTTTTCTTGGCTGTCTCGAACAGTTTTTCTCTTGTGTTTGTTCTGCGTTAACTTATCGAACAAACCATTTTCTTCAGAGATTTGCGAGGTGCTTATCCCAAGGAGGATTCTGATGTTGAGAGGCAATTTGGAATGTTTGAATCTTCCGCCTATGACCCCGTTGGCTACTCTCTATCCCCACAAACCATATCATTACAGATTCAACGCAGGACCTATATTTGTACATAAAATACAAATTAGTTTGGCAGCAATTAGTTTTTCGGTTAAAATAAATTATTACCTTTTTATTATTGTAAAATTTATTTTTTTTAAAACATAAGTTTATATGAAAAAAATAAGATTATTTAATGATTTAATGTCCAAATATTACGTGCTGTAAATTTATAACATTATTGGGCTGATCAGTACTGAAATTGGGCCCATGTCGCGTCCGGTGCTGTTGTCGTCCAAAACGATGTTCTTCAAACGCGCTAGAATACCAAGCGCGGAGGTAGCGCGTTGATCAAACGCGCGATATTTCCCTAGGTTATAATCCGCATAAATTGCCGAAATCTCGCAATTTTTGAAAAATAGGCGCGTGGCTATGTGGAACGGGTCTTTTCTCTTCGTGTAAAACTCCACCGATTTCTTTTCTATTATATTAAAATACTCAAAAACTAATACAAATAATATATATATATATATACATGTGTATATGTATGTACGTGGATATGTGTTATATATATATATATATACACAACGCAATATACTTCGCACATAACTGATGTCTGCTGTATAGGGAATTTGATATTTGAATTATCAATTTCGAATATCTGAAGCTTCCGCCAACGACCCACATTGACTATTCTCTATTCCACAAACCAGATCATTCAGATTCAAAACGCACAAAAAAAATAAATATATGTCCATCTTTGGACAAAAATTAAAAGTTAATTTGACAGCAATTAGTTAGTGTTTCGGTGAAATAAATTATTACTTTCCGGCAGAAATTTAAATTAAATAACATCTGTCCAACATGAACTGTTATTAGTTTTTAAAATTTAAATGTAATACCATTTTTTAAAAAAATATATAAAGATTATATGAAAAATAAGAATGTTTAATGATTTAAAATGCAAATATTACGTGTTGTAAATTTATATTCATTAATGAAATTGGGCCTATCATACTACTGTGACGTCCCGTGGTTTAGGCCCATAACGGTATTCCATACAAACGCGGTATACAATCCCAAGCGCAGAGGTAGCGCGTTGGACAAACGCGCGTGATTTCTCTGGGTTGTAAGCCATAGAAACTGCCGCAAAATTCGCAATTCATGAAAATAGGCGCGTGGCTGCATGGGACGGTCCGGACGGGTCTCCGTGCGAGTAAAAAAACTCCTCACCAATTTTTTTTTTTTTTACTTATTTTTATGTTCCCCCACATTCTTCATCCATTTATCATTATTAGTTTTTTTGCAACATTCTGTTTTAGTGATGTTTTTTTCTTTCCAAATGTATTAACATTTTTGTTTCTATTTTTGCCCTTTTATAACATTTTTCCATCTTCAATTAGATCTTCAAAACATATGGGTCGAATGTCTTTTATCCGAAAGAAGTTCATATAAATATATGGGAGATATTTATATCAGAATTAAAGAAGGTTGTATGCGGCATTTGTTTGATTTGGGTTGCATCAAATAACAAAAAAAAAATTACGAAGTATAGAGAGGTAGCTCAGTTTCGATCGTATATTATGAACACATGTAATTTAGCATTGAGGTGAACACAATTGGACACTAAGACAATGTGAGACAGCTTGTAGGAAATGGAGAGGATGAAGAACACAACATCTCATACCATACGGCAAATGAATCGTACCACATGATTGCTCGGTTTCACGTTATCAAAACCTCAAATGCAGGATTCGGATCCCGAATGAATCGCACGCGACGAGGCAAGACGAATTTTCATTCGGAAAAATTCCGGTTACATATAAAAGAATCACACACCAAGGTCAACAGCGACAATGACGAAGAAATCCCTAGCCAATAACATCGCGAATCGTGGAAGACGTTACCGAGCGAGGAATCCAGAATAAACAAAATCTACGGTGGGGGAGATGGGCGGAGTCAGACCATGTCGCGAGAGAGGGTGAGAGGACGTCCATTGGGGTCGAAATGGACATCTTCTTCGTCGTCGAGATCGGTGGTGGTGAGGTTGACGCAGGAGCATCGCTCGAGAGAGGAGAAGAAGGCGGAGACGACGGCGATGCTGACCCATGTCGCCACCTGATCCAGCTTCTCCCGAGATACGGCGCTCAGGCTGTTGTTGCCGTTCTCCATTGATGTTTCCGGAGGGGGAGATTTACTCCTAGACCTGAACCCAACCCAATTCGGCCTACACGATCCGCGTGGTGAGATTTGTTTCCGTTCTCTTCTCCCCGAGAGAGAGAGAGAGAGAGAGAATTCAAATTACAAGGAGCGGAGAGAGGAGGGGCTATCAATGGAATTATGGGTAATGAATGAAGAATGATGAATCTGCTCCACTGCATAACAGGCCCAACAATGTAAGCCCAAAAGTAGAAAGTTTTTGGTCGGCCCAATAAAACCTCATAAATCACACGGAGCGGTTTTGGTTCTGGGTGGAACCAACATAACCGGATCTGATTCCGTTTGTTTGGATCTGATTGCAGTTTCAATTTAAAAAAAAAAATACGATTGGTTTAATCACTTGTGAATCGTAATAAGATTCGAAAAATCTAATCGTAGTTCTCTCTCTATATTTTTAGTGATCCATTGTATCGGTTAAAAAGACCAAAACATTCTTTTATCTTAGAAAATTGTTTTTTCAATATTTATTTAAAAGTCAATTCAAAGTTCATTACCATATCAGTTTTTAAACAGTTTGACTGCAGCTCAGAGCTCAGCGGACATAAAATCACAGGGAAGCCACAAGAGGGTGGTGGAACAAAACTAAGCTCCCATGACTGAGAAAGTGAAGTGCTTCTCCTTCGATAAGAGTCTACACATTTCTAAACAATGTACCTTAAGAAAAAAACATAACTTCAAAGCGACAGCACACTTATATGATCTTTCTCTTGCTTCCTAAGACTTCAAAATATTAAAAAAAATTTGAAAAATGTGTATTTCCTCCTCTTTTGAATCCTCAAAATTTCACCTAATAAGACCTCTCTCTCGTCTTAGAGCTCGTCGCGAGAGTCATCATCCTCGTCGGCGGCAGATTCACCGGAGGGAGCTCCACCAGACCTCTGGTAGACAGCCGTGATGATAGGGTTACACACCGACTCCACCTCCTTCAGCTTCTCCTCGTAGTCTTCCTTCTCGGCGCTCTGGTTGTCGTCCAACCACTCCAACGCTTCCTTGACCGCTGTCTCTATCTTCTCCTTCTCGTCCTCCTCCAGTTTCTCCGCCAGCTTGTCCTTGTCGTTCACTTGGTTCTTCATGTTGTACACATACGTCTCCAGGCTGTTCCTCGCATCTACTCTCTCCTTCACCTTCTTGTCCTCTTCCGCAAACTCCTCCGCCTCCTTCACCATCCTCTCTATCTCTTCCTGGCTCAGCCTCCCCTTGTCGTTCGTTATTGTTATCTTCTCCGATTTCCCGCTCGCTTTGTCCTCTGCTTTCACGTTCAATATCCCGTTCGCATCCACCTCGAATGTCACCTCTATTTGTGGAGTGCCTCTGCCATATTCATATAACATGGAGCATTCAACTTTCTAGCAAAACTGATAAATTCAGCATGTTTTCACAAAAGGGCATCGATGAGGAAGAAGAAGAAGACGAAAAAAACCTTGGGGCGGGGGGGATTCCAGAGAGGTCGAACTTCCCGAGAAGCCTACAGTCCTTGGTCATACTCCTTTCACCTTCAAAGACCTATTTGATATTGTCGAATGAATCATTATTAGATAGTTGTCCACAGACAAGAGTTTGATATGGCAGGAGCAGAAGAAAGGGTACCTGAATGGAGACGGTGGTCTGCTGGTCCTGGTAAGTGGTAAAAACTTGGGATTTCTTGGTTGGGATGACGGTGTTCCTTGGGATCAGCTTCGTCATCACTCCACCAACGGTTTCGATCCCCAGTGTGAGAGGAGCCACGTCAAGAAGTAGGATATCTGCTTATACACAAATATACACACCACCCATATCTGTTAGTTAACTATGTATCTCTTCTTTTTCATAAAACCCAAGGATTTTGGCAAAGTATGCACCTTTGGTCTCATCACCACCCTCTCCGCTCAAAATACCACCCTGAACGGCAGCACCATAAGCAACAGCCTCGTCCGGGTTCACACCCTTGTTCGGCTCTTTGCCATCAAAGTAGTCCTTCAGAAGCTGCTGACCCTTAGGGATCCTGGTACTTCCTCCGACAAGCACAATCTCATCGATCTGGCTCTTCTGAAGACCAGCATCCTCCATTGCCTTCTTCACCGGTCCCATGGTCTTCCTGAACAGGTCGTTGTTCAGCTCCTCGAACCGAGCTCTGGTCAGGGGCTCTGAGAAATCAGTGCCGTCAAAAAGGGACTCGATCTCAACTCGAACTTGGTGCTGGCTGCTCAGAGCTCTCTTGGCTCGCTCGCACTCCCTCCTGAGCTTTCCAAGAGCCCTGTTGTCCTTGCTAATGTCCTTTCCGTGCTTCTTCTTGATCAACTTGATGAAGTACTCCATGATCCTCTGGTCAAAGTCCTCACCTTCACAGACACCACGGGTCAGTACAACATGCAGAGGAAGAAATAATAATGGACGTGACTAAATTCAGAAAGGTTGCCAAACCGACTTACCTCCCAAGTGGGTATCACCATTTGTGGAGAGAACCTCAAATACACCATTGTCAATGGTCAAGACACTGACATCGAAGGTACCACCACCAAGGTCAAAGACGAGGATGTTCTTCTCACCACCTTTCTTGTCCAGACCATAGGCAATAGCGGCAGCAGTAGGTTCGTTGATGATCCTAGCGACATTGAGCCCTGCTATAACACCAGCATCCTTGGTGGCCTGTCTCTGGGCATCATTGAAGTATGCTGCAGATAGGAAAAAAAACACATAGCTTGGCTTAACAACACAGCTGTCTCCATGACACAAATTGGAGAATATGAAACATAGTTATTTCAGCTCACCTGGTACAGTGACAACTGCATCCTTGATTTTCTTTCCGAGATATGCTTCGGCCGTCTCCTTCATCTTAGTCAAGATCATGGCACTGATCTCCTCTGGACTGAAGATCTTGGTCTCACCATCCTTGAAATTTACTTGAATGTACGGCTTGCCATCCTTGTTCACAATCTTGTAAGGCATGAGCTTCATGTCCCTCTGAACCTCTTTGTCGGTGAATCTGCCAGAGAAACATTCTTAGCAACATTTCTTACTGTTGGGGAAAAAACACAATTAAGACAGAAAAACAGAAGTATATTACTGTCTTCCAATCAATCTCTTGACGTCGAAGATGGTCCTCTCGGGATTTACAGCCGCCTGATTCTTGGCAGCCTCACCAATCAGCCTCTCGGAGTCTGTGAAAGCCACCCAAGAGGGAGTAATACGGTTACCCTGGTCATTGGCTATGATTTCCACATGACCATTCTTGTAAACACCAACACAGGAGTAAGTCGTGCCAAGATCTATCCCTATTACTGTTCCCAGCTTGGTGGCCTCTTCTTTAGCAATGGAAGCATACAGACATCCTGAAGCATAAAATCCCAATAGTCAATGTCCATATCAAAGCATACTTACAACTTCCATGTCCTAATTGATGTGGCCCACGTGATTCTGCGTGGACGACAGCAAACTAATGTAGAAATTATACGCAAACAGAAAGTGTTTTGGTTAATTAGTATGGCGTAGCCCATATTAGTCGGCTGGAACTACTTCAAACATTGCTCAACATGGAACTAGTTCCAGATATCGATCAAATGCCATTAACATTGCCAGATCACCGTATTGACACAACAAGACTGCTTCCCATTCCATCCCAAACAGCAACAAGGAATGCAGGTTATTCATGGTCAATACTAAAACAGAGACCAATGCAACGAGAAAATCAACGCTATAAGAGATCAAATCTTAGATTCTCACAACATTGTACACACGCATCTTTATATTCACTAACAACGAAACGTTGCATCAGATTTAAGCAGTCCGATCGAACATCGAAGTCACTAGCGATCTGAACGTCGGATCGAACAGAATTTCGATCCAGATGTTTTCCACCGAACAGAAAAGAAACAGAAATCGAAATACACACTCCAAGACACAAAGATCCAGATGAAATATAGTGTATTTCGAGATCACTCACCGAAGAAGACGATTGCCAAGGCAACCGCGCCGCGTGCTCCGAACGAACGAGCCATAGCGAATTCTACCGTTCTCGTTCTGTCTCTCTCTCTCTCTCTCTCTCTCTCTCTCTCTCTGTGGAACTGAGTTTCGTTATTTGAACTACGTCTCGGGAGGGGGGGGCGTTCAAGGCTTATAAAGGTCAGGGCCCGAATGCTACGCTAGAGAAGTCCCTTATTGTGGAAAAGCGATGAAGTAGAACCATGTCATCGGAGATGACGTGGACCAATCATATTTCTCCGCTCTACTCCTCCGACCAATTAAAATTCGTCTTGTGTTGGGAAGATCCTGGCCGTTCATTCCCGCTATGTTGACGTGTCGGTCTGCCAAGCTGATACATGCCATCACACGCCGTCTATAATTTCTAAGCTAGAACTGCACGTCGTTTACTGTGGAGTAGAACGCCAACAGAATACGAGACGAGAAGGGTTTGAATTAGTTAAAATGGAGCCCATTCTCGTGGCCGATTATGAATATCTCGCGTGGCCCATTACTATTATTGCACCGAAATATCAAATATGTATTGAGCATTTCTTTAATTTGTCTTTATTTTTGGATTTTGGAGTGTATATTTTCGGAAAACAAATAACATAGCCCGAATTGAAATACAGAAAATCGATTAATTTTCTACCCTTGCTATCATCATTAATGTAGACATGATCTTTATGAACCTAAGGATATTCTGATTAATTGTAATGTCGGTCAATTTTAATTTTAATTTTTTTCATGTTATTATTTATCTCAAATATTTGTAGATTCCAAAGCACGGATAAGCATTTACTAATGTAATAATTAAGTCTTTCAACCTTTATATGATAAGATGAGAAAAACTTCTAATATAATATTTTATTTACGCATTTTACTCAAAAACAAAAGTTGGTTCCTCTCTCAATAAGTGATTTCATATATATATATAAAGGAGTGGGTGATAATGGTGTGGGTACAAAAGGAAGACATGTTGGAATGGTAGGGGGAAGGTAAGCATAAGCGACCACTAAGGCTTTTCATGGTTTGGTAAATGGTAAAGGTATTGAATTAAAAGAGAGAAAATGTTAAAATCAAAATGAAAAAAGAAAGAAAGAAAATAATAAAGGAGTTATTCTTCATCATTGTGATATGACCGCCACCGCCACTCACTACAATATATACGTTATATTCACCTATATAAGTGATCTAGTTATGATATATAACCAAATTCAGATATGATATTGTTTGCCTACGATTCATATTTTGGAGCGTTTACACTCTACATCTTCTTCGTCGTCGAGATCGGTGGTGGTGAGGTTGACGCAGATTTATTAATATATAGATTATTTTTTTTTTGCTAAAAGATTAATATATAGATTTTTTTTGGGTAAAATTAATATATAGATTAGTCACTACTAGAAATCATTTGTAAGAAATAAAAATGTCTAGTGCATGCTTTTCTATAATTTTTTTTTTTTGGAAAGAGTACGTATATAACTAACTATATATGTGCGCCAAGGTATGTATATATGCATAGGGGATAAGACAACTTTGATGATGGTGATGATGATGATAAAGAGGTGACAGAAAGGGTCCATAGTGCATGCAGTTGACTTTGTTAGCGTGTATTCATTCAATTGATGAACTACAGTATTGTGATATAATCCCCCACAATTTATATATATATATATATATATATAATTATATATTCTAAAAAAAAATTAAAATTCTTCAGAGCCTTTGATTGTGTTACCGAAATGAAAAACAGCTTTCAATCACAGTGTCTCCCCCTCCCACTCTCTATATAACTGATCCTTTCGTCTACAATGTAAGCACATTTATTGAGAACGGAATTGGTTGGCTAATAACATAAAACCAATAATGAGTTCTCACACCAAAACCATCTTGGTTCTCGTTGTTCTTGTCTTCACTTCCATTCACGTTTCCTATGCTGCCTCCGAGGAGAAGGTGAATTATCCGACGTCAAACATGGTAATATTTAATCCCCCTTATAATATATATATATATTGTTTTATTGTATATTTGTGTCGTATTGTTATATATCATATTGTCTAAATGGAACAAGAAATAATTTCACAGTAAAACCTGAACAAACTCGTAGAGAAGATGGATGAAATATTACATATCCGCGTGCCATAAGGGTAGCATATATATGTGATCATATTTAAAAAACTCGATGAGAAAATATCGTTTACAAGAGGTTATAATATTTGATATATATAAAGGGTGTGGAGGAGAATGAAGTAGCAAGAGAGAGAAAGCTTTTGGAGGTGGAGTATCATCTCGACTACGCAAGAACAGGAGCCAATCAAGACCATGAACCAGGCAGAGGAAGACCTTAATCAAGCTAAGTGTCCGAAAGATAATGAGTTTTAAATTAATGGTGTTGCATTGTATCAATAAGCTATATATACATACATATACAGTAGCGGACCTAGAACAAATTTTAAGTGGGGGCAAAATTAAATTTAGCACGTGATAAATATAATTTACAATGGGACATTTATAAAATTTGGTTAAAATGTGATCAATTTCATAAAGGAATTATAATTTTTTAATCAAACCAATGGGGGCATATGCCCCCATTCTTCTCCAATTGGGTCCGCCCATGTACATATATGTATATATGTATGTATGTATATGGGGCAAGACATATATTTTGGTGCTAATCATATGGTTCCATGTATGTGAGAGATTAGGTGTCAAATAAAACCTATCTATGTGTGTGTGTTTTTTTTTTAATAATTCGAAAGCTCAGTAGATCTTTGACCCGACTGTATATCCCAAAAAATTGGAGAAACTTATGTGAATGTCTAGATTTTTGACCCGACTATATATCCCAAAAAATTGGAGAAACCCATATGAATATCTCTCTCTAGATGAAGACTCGAACCCGGATTAGGAAAAAAATTATTCTTTTTTTACCGGTTGAATCATGGATTGGAAAAAAGTTTTAGTCTTTTTTTACCGGTTGAGTTATCAATCTTGGATACATGTATGTTTTTCTATGTTGCATATAATAATAAAATGGATTAGATAAATAATTCAGTTGTCTTTTCCTAATTAGAAAGCTACTCGAAATAATTAATTATAATGATATTCAGTTTTTTAAGATAAAAAGGCTCTAAAAAACCCGAAGTTCTTTGTGTATGATCATTATAAAAAAAAAAATTGTTTATGGGTTTGAAATACAAAGATGTTTTTTTCTTGTGTTACACTATCGTTGTAACGAAAAACACAAAGGCCCACTTGGCAAGTCGCTTTCTGCTTGTCAGCGAGCTATTCTTTATCCCTGCCCAGAATAACTTTATCCCGAACCCGGGCATTTCTTCTCCTATGGAATGGAACCCCATATCAGACGACGGCGTGCAACGTTTTAAAAGAAACATTCGAGTTGAATTGGCGGGTTTGTACATCACATCTGTGGACACAGAAAAAGCTATAATAGAGTGATATTTTGATTGAAGAATAAAAATTCTATATAAATGAGTTACAGAAATTCCATTATTGAATTTACAAATGTTCCATGTCCGATGCTATAAAATAAGAGAGTATCAAGACAATACCCTGTCTTTTCTGGACTTGCTAATGCTCATCAAAGCCTTGAACATGACAACACCGCTC